TCCCCACCTCAACCTCTCTGATGCGCTGCTCCCTTCACCAAAACACCTTGTTGTCTGCCACCCTTTCCTCTCTCCCGCCACCTTTCTGATTTCCCCGCTGCCACGCCTGCTGGCAGCTGTGCATTTGTCTTTGCAGCCTTGTCTTGGTAACGTTACACAAGCCGGAACCCCCATGGGTGCTGTGGCAAAAGTGGAGTTTAGAACTGGAGGGAGGCTGCTGCCAGGCTGCAGCTGTACAGGAAGGGTCCAGAGGAGTGCAGCAGACGGTACCGCTTCATTTCCCTGGACATGCCGCCGGAGTAGAGCCACCGGCTGCGAAGGCTGCACAGGGTCAGATGAGGGAAGGCAAGCGGCAGCAGCGCAGGGCAGGCAGGCAGGAAGACCAGCTCTGCCTGCGGCAGCGACGAGGCGCCGGGGCCGTCAGCCATGGCCCGGGTGGAGAGTGCCTGCAGCAGTTGGCAGTTCTGTTGGGACACATTCTGATTGAATTGTCCATGATTCGAATGCGACAGTGTCACGGTTGTGTGATCATGTGCTTGCATCCTGCCGGGGGTCTCGGCTCTGAGGCTGCCATGTGGCAGGCCGGTGCCAGCCAAGGGGATGTATCATACATGTTTATAGTTCGGGGAAGGGGGCACATCCACGACCACAAGGAGAGGTGCATGAGTCAGGAGGGGACAGGAGTCAGTGTTTTGAGTTTGCAAGGGCTGGTTGAGTTCCTTTGAACTTCTATCTCGCCTCCTCTGCCGCTGCCTCAGCCTCCATCGCAGCCTCGGCCGCCGCCGCCTCCTTGTCCGCCTGCGCCGCCTGCGCCGCGGGCTTGCCGCCCTCGGCCTTGCCCTTGTCCCCGCCCTTGCCATCCTCGGGGGGGCACTGCTTGACGGAGTCGAGGAGCAGGTTCTTCACGCAGTCGGGGCCCTGCCACACATACTCCTCGCTCCGCAGCGGGTACATGGCCAGATAGACCTGCAGGGCGGAGGCGAGGGCAGGGCAGGGAAGGGGGCGAGGCAGGAGTTGTGAGAGGCAGGCGGTGGTGCACGGTGGGTGGGCGGTGGAAGGTGGTGGTGCCGGTGCGGGTGGCAAGCAGGGCGATGGCAGGCCGGGCCCAGGCCGGGCCGGCCCGCCGACTAAGCTGCCGAGCTGAGTGCCAGCTGCCCAGGCGCGCGCGCAGAGCCGCCTTGCCGCCACCCAGGCTTCCGGGCGGGCCGCCCCCGCGCAGCCCCCGCGCAGCCGCGGGCACACCAGGCCCCAGGGATGCAGGCAGAACCAGGGCACACCTTGGTGGCCTCAAAGGCGCGGTCGTACTGGTGCACAATGGGCGGTACGCTGCCGTTCACGCGGCGGTACACGCCGTCCTTGTCAATCACGATGGGCCAGCCGTAGCCTGCGGCAGCGGTGGCATGGGGGGGGGAGGGTGCGTGTGTGCGTGTCTGTGCTGCAGGGAGGGAGACAGGGCGGGAGGGAGGGAGACGGGGAGGGGACAGGGATGGTGGTAGGAAGGCCCTGCCCGCCGCTCCCACCCCACCCCGCCAGCCCTGCCCCGCGCCGCGCACCCGCCGTGTGTACGGGCGAGTCCCAGTTGCGGCGCATGTGGTACGGGAACTTGAGGCGGCCGCGGGGGCCCAGGTAGTGGAGCATGTAGTTGTGGGTGGCCTGGTCGCTGCCGTACTTCCTGCGGTACAGCCGGTACAGGCAGCGGCACAGGGCGGCGGCACACCACACCATCACACAACAGCGCCGGGAGGACGGAGCCGGCCCGCGGCGCGCGGACGCCGGGGCGGCCCTCCAGCCGGCGGCACACGGCAGAGCCGCCGGCCGCTGCTTCCTGCGCCACGCCGCTGCCTGCCTCCCACCCCGCACACGCCCCCCGCACGCGCCACCCCGCACACGCCCCCCCGC